TTTTCTCTGTATCTATTATTGTAGGGTCGACCTTACAATATAAAGCGCATTGAGGCGCCTGCTGTTGTGATTTGCTGTTGTATAAATAAACCATCTGCGATTCATCATTTTGTGTTGCAGTCAAGGCCAGACTGACGTGCTGCACCATCCTGTGGTATTACACGGTCTGCTCTGTATCATGGAAATTAATGAAATGAGTCAGAGAACAAGCATTTTCAATGTAACACAAATCCAATGTCAGAGGAAGTAGATTTGCTCTGTGTGTGCACTGCTGAGCAAACACACAGGCCTTTATCTCTATATCGAAATGTGACTAAAAACCTGAAGAAATCCAAAGTGCGGGGTCCTGTGATACAACATACATGTCATGTTCATTTCAGCTAACTCTCAGCGTGTTGGGCCATGCACCCATTCCAAATTAGTCCATCATCCTGATATGTTATCTCACTCTACATTAACACCACTAACAATCACAGTCAGCATCGCACTATGCTGCTCTTCAGTGAGTCAGGATGTGATTGACTGGAGGAGGCCGTGGTACCTGTGAGACTCCGTTGGTGGCAGGCAGTTTGGTGAGAAGGCTCTGTTTGCTGGCACAGGGACAGTGAGAGCTTATGTTGTGTTTTTCTCTCAGGGAGTGCATGGACGTCACCAAGTCTGTCAGCACTGAAACATGTCAAAATCAAACAACACACAATATTAAAAAATCGTGCTGAAAAGTATCATTCAGTCATAAAACTACACACCAGCTGTTGTTCAATAGCAACACAACCAGCTGGACCGTACCTGAGCCAGGGATGATCTGGGTTGGCATGAGGTGTTTATGGTCGTGGGGTTGGCCTTTAACACACTTCAGCCATCCATACAGCTCTTTATCTGATCACAGTGAGAAAAAAGTCACACAGTGAACAACACCCACCACACTCAGACGTAAGACGTGTGGAGAGGAAGGTTACATGCACGCACATGTTACTGAAAAAGACTCCGGTTCAACCGTTTCTGACTTTTCGTGAACTGACCTTTGGAGCTCTTTCTCTCCTTGGCCTTGTAGCAGTCCAGGCAGACGACAAAGCCACATTTCTGACAGACCCAGTGGATGTTGAAAAGTGTGGCTTCACATGCGTCACACATCTCCCTCACCCCTCTCACTGCGCGCTTCCACGCCAGCTTGGCTGAAACACACGATAAAGGTTCAGAGGAAAACACGCTGAGACGTGTTCGTCTAAACTTTGACGCTATTTTTGAGAAAACTTACCATCCTTCTTAAT